CCAGCCAGCCAGCCATCTCTCCATCCATCCATCCATCCATCCATCCATCCATCCATCCATCCATTCTTTCATTTATTTATTTGCCAAGTGTTAATGATGTGCCTGACACTTTGCTAGATGCAGTAAAAGAATAAGACGTGGTCTCTGCCCCAAGGAACTCACTGTCTGGTGGTGAGAAGACACCATGCATAGTCACAGCTGAAGAATTAGAGTGAAGAGCATTCTCAGGGACGTGCAAGCATGTTCAAGAGAGTACAGAGAAGGAAGGGACTGATTCTGGCATGATAGAGGAGGTGACATTTGTCCTGGGCTGTGGAGAATAAATAATGCTTTCCTCAGTGGAAACTGGGAAGAATGACCTGTCAGACAGAAGGACTAACCCAAGCAAAGTCTTGGAACCATGAAGCTCCTTTGGGACATCAAGAGAGATTTAGGGTGTATAAAGGGAAGCACTGGGACATGAGGCTACAAAAGTAATTAAGGGACTGTTCCCCTGATATAGAGATTAGTTTAACTATCGTTACAATCTAGTTTTGTTTTTTTGAGCACTATAGTTATATATAGTAGTTGGTTTCATTTTAGACAAAAATCATACATTCATGAAATTTGATTTAGTCCATTTCATTCCCCATTTCCCCTGCAATCCAGTTTTTTTTTTTGGTGGGGGGGCTACTGGGGATTGAACCGGGATACTTAACACTGAGCCACATCCCCAGTCCTTTTTATATTTTATTTTGAGACAGGGTCTCACTAAGTTGCTTAGATCCTTGCTAAGTTGCTGCAGCTACCTTTGAACTTGCGATCCTCCTGACTTAGCCTCTTGTGCAATCTAGTTTTAAAGCATGTCCCTCATTTAGTATTTTCCCTCTTGATCATTTATAGTTAAATCCACATCTACCTCAAGCCCTCAGGTTACCATTATTATCTCTTTAGATTTGTTTTTTCTGGACATTTTACATACACACAATTATATAATCCATAGTCTTACACCAGGCTTCTTTTATTTAGCATAATATTTTTGAGATTCGTCCATGTCATAACACGTATCAGTAGTTCATTCCTTTTTATTGCTGAAAAATACTCTACCATATGGATATGCTGCACTTTTAAAACTTCCATTCAGTAGTTGATGAATATTTGGATTAAGATATTTAGATTTTTGGTCATTTTGAACAATGTTTCTATGAACATTCACATACGTGTCTCTGTGTAGACATGTGTTTGTTCCTGGTTCCTTTTACATACCACAATCTGGGGATTAGGTGTGCTCATTGCTAAGAAGCACAGGGCATTGCTGCTCCTTGTTTTTCTCAGTGGAAAGAGCTCAAAGATGTCATATCTAATCATATACATATATACAAACTATGTCTATTTATATAGGTTTCTCTAGAGTGTTTTTGGTTACTGATTGAAGGTATACAAAGTAATATGTTTAAAAGTTAGTTGGATTAATTTTTGTTTTTTCTTTATCTTTGTATTATTAATTTAAAACACAGTGTGGCTCACTTTTTCATTTGTATTTTGTTTTCCCCCATTCTGGTTGGCTTAATTCAGTTTTTTAAAAATATTTTTTTAGTTGTAGTTGAACACAATAACTGTATTTTATTTATTTGTTTTTATGTGATGCTGAAGATCGAACCCAGCGCCTCACATGTGCTAGGTGAGCACTGTATCGCTGAGCCACAACCCCAGCCCTGACTTAATTCAATTTTTGAATATGTGAAACATTAACCATAAAGTCAAAACTATACAAAAAATACAAAAACAAAAACAACAAAAAAACCCCAGGTAACTAGAGTAGTTACTTGTCTTATTATCTTTTCTACCCCATTCTTTCATTACCCTCTTCTTACACAAATTGGAATGTTTGCATAGTGCCTAGATCTTTTGTGCTCTTTTTTTTTTTAACCTAACAATACATATTGGAAGTCCCACTGTGTGACTTCACAGAGCTCTTCTTCACTTTTTTAGGGTCTTCACAGTACTGCATTATGTGGATGGATTATAATTTACTCCACTAGTCTCTTATGGAGGCACACTTAGGTTGTTTTCTCTATTTTGCAATTACAAATAATGCCACAATGAATAACCTTGTACATATGTAGTTTTATATTGTTGGGGGTTTATCTTTAGGGTAAACTTCTAGGAATGAGATTGCCCTTAGGTTAGAAGGTAAATAAAATATGTTGACATTTTTAAAAGATATTTCCAAATTTTGTAGGGCTTATATAATTTTATATTACTATCAGTACTGTAAGTCAGTGCCTATTTCCACACAATGTTACCAACAGCTTATATTTGTGCTTTAGATTTTTGCCAATCTGACAAATGAGAACTGTATTTCAGTATAGTTTTGATACGTATATCTTTTTTGAGTGCCCCACTCCTGTTCTTCAAGGGCAGAATGTAGACACTGTACATATATATCACCTGTGCTCTTATTCTGTTGGACAGAAATTAGTCACACAACCTTACCTGGCTGTGAGAGAGGCTGTTGAATGGAGTAGGTATTCTAAGATAATATGTACCCTGCTTAAAAAGTCACGGTTTGCCTGCTATAGAAAGGAAGAATGGGTGTTTGGGATAACTTGCTGTCTCTGCTCAGTGGGTGAGACATTTTCTATTTTGAAAACTAGAAATCCAGATGTTAGTCAGCTTTCTGTCACTATAATAAAACACCAGAGGTAATCAACTTATAAAGGGAAAAGATTCTTTTTGGCTCACAGTTTTGGAAGTTCCAGTCCATGATTGCTGGAACCTATTGTTTTGGGGCTGTGAGGCAGCACATCATGGTGGGAGTATGTGGTGGAGCAGAACTGGTCACCTCATGTCTAGGAAGCACAGATAAAGGGGAAGGGAATCATAATTTCCTTCAAAGGCATGACATCTCACTACGTCCTGCCCTCTAAAAATTCTACCACTTCTCAACATTGTTACCCTGAGACCAAGCCTTCAACACATAGGCCTTTGGGGAATGTTCAAGATTTAAACTATAGCCCCAGGGAATGATTTGTGTGTGTTTATGCACATGCACGCATTCATGCATGCCAGGATTGAATCTAGGGCCAAGAATATGCTAGGCGGCAAGTATTCTACCACTGAGCTACATCTCCAGCCCAAATAATTTTTCATTCTAGCTTTAATATTTTTATAAAGATGATCTCTCTTGCTGGGCACACATCTATAATCCCAGCAACTCAGAAGGCTGATACAAGAGGATCAAAAGTTTGAGGCTTGCCTTGGCAATTTATTGAGATTCTGTCTCAAAATAAATAAATAAATATAAAGGGCTGGGCATGTAGATCAGTGGTAGAGCACTCCTGGGTCCAATCCCTAGTACCACAAAAAACAATAAAATATTATCTCTGTTCAATGTAAATATTCAATAAAATAAATAAGAACAAATAATAAAGCAATTCACATTGCCATCCTTTGAACATTGTTTCAGATCAGTGAAGGGTTTGTCTTTTGAATCTTTACTAATTTTGAATTATAAACATAATACAATATATTCATAACAAATTCAAACAATATGGAAAGGAATGACATACAAGAATAAGTCTTCCCAATCTGTTGCCCCAAGGTAACTTAAGTGAACATCATCTGTGACTTTTGCTATTAAAAACAAAGCCTCAGCTGGGGATAGAGCTCTGTGGTAGAGCGCTTGCCTATCATGTGCAAGGCCAAGGATTCAATCCCCAGAACCATCACCACCACAAGAAAGTGTCAGTGAGTAGCCTTTCATGTATATCTTTACATGCTTTTGTTGACAATGCTTTTTTTTTTTTTTTTTGTACCAGGGATTGAAGCCAGGAGCTCTTAACCACATTCCCAGCCCTTTTTTATACTTTTATTTTGAGACAGGGTCTTGCTAAGTGCTTAGGGACTTACTAGTTGGAGTGAGAACCTGTGATCTCTTGGATTTGAACCTGTGATCTCTTGGATTTGAACCTGTGATCTCTTGCCTCAGCCTCCTGAGCCACTGGGATTACAGGCTTTTTTTTATTGGCAATTCTTAGGAAAAAAATTTGTAGATGTAAAAGAACTAGTTGGGAAGGCTTTAGATTGACTCCTCCAATGGCTCTCCCCGTGTTTCCTCCCTCAGTGCATTGAAGAACCTGCTTGAGATGATGGGTGTGGCATGCTTGGACCTGGATTCTCTGCACAATGTGGACCTGCCTCTGCAGTCCTGGCAGGAGCTGTGATGCCACAAAATCATTTGGTGCCTTTAAAGTCCCTTGTCCTCTGTTTAGCACCTGTGCCATCGTGCTGGTTTGTCTAGTGACACAGGATCACAGCTTGACTCCACAGCACAGGGCAAAGGCTGCTATGTGCTGCTGTGTGCTGCAGAAGGAGGACCTTCAAGGGGATTGAGCAAACACTGACCCAGAGATTGAGCAAACACTTCCCTTCCCTGGCCCTCAATTTCCTAATGATCTTAAGCCCTTCATGATCTTAGGCCCTTCCATTCCTGTAGCTATGATTCTATGATTTGGTGATGGTACCCACAAGTAACACACAAGATTATTGCTAGGTTGGGTCTGTTGGAGTCTACCTACCT